TATATACTTTTTAAATTTTATACTGTATATATATAAAATTTAAAAAGTCTTTTGTTTACTTAAGCAAGGTGGTATTTATATTAAAACTTATTTAGTACTTTTACAGGGGAATTTCATGAATGGCTACTTGAACGAGATGAACATGTAACTGAGTTGGGCACAAAGCGAGGTTTTATGGTGTGATAATATTATAGATAAAACAGAGAAGAAGAGATTAAAATAGTTTGAACATGTAAAGAAAAATGACAGACGGAAGATTGCTTTGGATACTAGAATGAAGCTAAAAAGCTTGGATTTCTAATGGATATTAGAGAGAATACGCAGAAGAGGTAGGTTTACAAGTTGGATAAATGGAGACCATTGAAAAAAAAAACAAAGTTGAAAAGATAAAAAGAATTGGAAAGGATAAAAGAAGGTAAAAAATATATAAACAAAATATTTGGATGGAATTAATTGTTGCAAAATGGAAAACTCTTAACGAAAATTCCCATCTTTGACAAACTCGGATGATGAATAACTAATAAAATACAGTATAATTAATTTATTTTATAATCTTTAATTATTTCTTTATTTAAAATAAAGAAATAAAATCATTTCATATTATATTATTATTTTTAAAAGTGGGAAAAATAAATTAAAAGCTAGAAATGTAATAATTATTATAATCCTCGCCATTATTTAAGCGAAGAATTTTAGAAAAAAATGCAAACTTTTCAAGGAATAATTCACTCTTTTCAAAATTAATGACCTGTCATACTATAACAGGGCCTATACTTTACTTTACTTTACCTAAAATATACTTTGCTTAACTTGTAAAGTATAGGCCTACAATTAAATAATTAAATCGATAAATTTGTATAAGTATAAATAAAATACCGAAAATCTATTACACTGTATTACGTGTTTTAGGAATATAGTTAGGAAAATAATATATTTATGCAATAAAAAATTGTCAGCTATAGTGACATAAAATCAGCTTCTAGACGGCACAATAAGGAAGAGCCTCTAATAGCAAAGGTAGGAAAGTAAATATATAGGCGTAAATCGTGAGAATTCTACAAATCGGAACAGAGCTGTGGGTATTTACGAAAGACACCTCACTCTATGCTATAAGAATTCGAAAAACAAAGTACATAGAGCATTGGCAGTCTTGTCCAAATTGGCATAGTTTACCTTATTTTAAGGACACAAAGCAGCTTATAATTGTTAGACACAAGACTTTAAATTGCTAAAACACATTGCAAACTTTGTGATGTGTATATTTTCTATAATACTTCGTATAGCAAGAACTGTATTTATTTATTAAGATATTTATTTACAATGAAAGATCATTAAAAATATTTAAAATGATTAAAAACAGAAAAATCGATTAATTAGAAGTATAAAAATCTTTTAATACTTACACCTTCATAATATTTTGTAACGCCATTTTCATCTAACCATGATGGATAACCAACAAAGTACTGCATTTCTTTTAACTAATAAAGAATATTTATTATTAAATTAAATTATTTTATAAATATATCTTTTTTTATATATATAACTTGAAATTACTTTATTTGCAACTACTTCTTTAGTGTTATCATCTAACCAATCATAGTTTGGAATAAAACTTTTCATTGCTTCTCTAACGGATTCAACAATATGTTTTGCCTAAATTTAAATAATAACAAGTAAATTAAAAGTTTATTCAATTATAAAAATATTGAAGATAATATTTAACATACCTCATCTACCGGTATATTTACATGGCTTTTGTACATATAACCAAAAGCATAATTTAAATATTCAGATATATCAAGAAGACATCTAATTACTGTTTCATCTTCAAAATCTTTCGATAGATCTTTTTTAATGGTTTTTCCGGATGTGTAAATAATATTATTTTCAATTCTTTTCAAAAATTGAACCGATAAAAAGTCACTTATCCTATGAAGTTAATCAAGTTAAATTTAGTTTGAAAATCTGAAATTAATAAATTTATAACGTATTAGAAATCAATCTCACGTTTCATCGTTTTCGTCTTTAAGAACACCCAATATATTTTTGACTATATTAGGATCTTTTATTAATATTTTTATTATAGGTTTATTTTTATCGTTGCTTGACGTGTCTCTCCTTCTCCTGACTGTTAATTTCTTCTTTTTTCCCCCTTCTCCTTCTTCTTTTTCTTCTTCATCAGATTTACTAGATGGCTGAACCGGTACCGGTGTGGCCTCTGTGGCTGACGATGCCTCTGTAGATGCCTCTGTAGATGCCTCTGTAGATTCAGTTACCACTATAACTGGGTTTTCTGTATGTATTTCTGGTTCCTCACTGAGTAGCGTATAGATAAATTTTTCCAATTTCTTAGAAAACATATAAGTTAAAGTTATTAATAATTTATTAAGTAAATCGAAAAATAATTTAAAAGGATTATAACTAAAATAATTTATTTACGTCTGGTGGGAAAAATTCCTGATATTTGATTGTTTCATTGCTTAAGAATAACGCTTCACTATCTCCAGGACCATCGACTAGCTGTACAGATTAAATTATATTGAAAACAAAATTCTTATTAAAATGGCGATTGCTATTGATGAATATATTTTACTTTTTGAACATATGAGGGGAAGTCCAGAAATAAGTTGTTCTCGATTTTCGGAACCGTAAATTTATGGATAAAACGTACCATGTACTGGTAGAGACATCATACTTCTTCAGATGTACTGTGTTTCGCCGTAAGGATGCATTTTTCATTTTACACACGAGTAGAAGTAATTCAGAAGTTATTGTGAATGTTCAAAAAGTGCTGCTCATTGTGCCAAGAAACAAGAAGGTAAAGAGACGTGAAAAGGATAAAGTGTGGAGAGTTTTCTGCTATGAATGAGTACGTGGCACAGCTGGCATTACAATCCGTAAGCCAAGTAGAGGTATACGGACGGGAATTAATATCAAAGCAAATAATGCGGCGATGGTACAACATTCCATCATGGCCGTAAGAATGTCAAAGACGAAGAGCATGCTGAACGTCCGTTAACATCCATTGGAAAGGATAACGTCTGAAGAGTGAAGGTCATGATTCGCATCAACAGACGAGTGATCGCCACAGCACATTACATGATCCTCAACGTGTTCAATTATCATAGCGTCAATAAGATGGGTGTCTCGGCTCATCAGCACAGTTCATAAGACTGCCAGAATGAACATCAGCCTGCAATATCTCTTACAGGAAGGCAATCAGTTTGTCTTTCGAATTATGGAATTATGACAGGAAATAAAAGCTAGGCTAAATATTTCACCCCAAAATCGAAATTTGTCTTCATAGAGTGGAAGCACTCAGGTTCTTGCCGAAAATAGTTTAAGGTGGCCGGTAAGAAGACGAGATCCTTTTCCGGGACTACTTGGGTTGTAATATTGAGAATATCAATAAGTATTACGACGCACTGACAAGACTGAAAGATGCAGGTCTTCTCACTTCGGGGATTACGCTCTTTGATGATAATGCAAGACCCGACAAAGCAACAGTAACAGCATCCCGTGTTATCAAATTCGGTTGAGAAAGTTTTGACAATACCCTTGTAGTCTGGCCTTGTCGCCAGAGACCTCCACAACTTCCCAACTTGAAAGAAGGCATTTGGAAAGCAGCATTTCATACGAATGAAGTAGAAAAAACCGTTTGAATTTCGTTCGTACGTGAGAAGGTTTGGTTTAACCTGGCAAAACGCTATAAAAATGTGTCAATAATACTATCGAACTATGTCGAAAAATAAAGCAAGAATGCCTCTTCCTATACATCAATTGGTTTCTAGAATGAAAATTCCTGTTAATAGCAGACACGAAAAACTTATTTCTTGAATAACCCTCATGTATTCAAACATTTATATAAAGTAATAACACTTTTGATAATTACTTTTTCCTTAATCTTGTTATTTAAAGCTTTAACGTCATCAAACTGTAATTGGTTTTTCTCAAATACTTCCTCAAGAAACTTTTGCGTAAACTTAATATCGTCCTCTATATCCTCGAATAAGGCTTTAGAGGGAGGAGTTATCTTGAAATTAAATTAAATTTTATAAATTAAAATAGATAATGATAGAAATTAAATATATTTTTTATGAATAATATAAATATATTTACGACTAAAATGTTTTCTTTGTTATTTTTATAATTAGGCGAAACTTCAATTTGTAGAATTGGTTGCATTCCAAATAAACGATATAAATTAGCTATTTTTTCTCCTGTTGTCGAAGCTTTGTCTTCTGTTACAGTTATTAGAGGAAAACCCCCGAATTCTTTAAACATTTTCGTATAAGAAGCTTTTAAAGTATCCTTTTGTGTTTTGTCTAGAAAAAAAAAGTAGAATTTAACTTGCCGTAAAAATAAGTTTTAAATGCTTCTTTAATTATAATAATGTTAAATACAAGTATCCTTCGTATAACACGGTAGTTACATTCCGTAAAAGTACTGTGTTATGCGAATCAGTACTATACGAAACAAAGGATTAATGCAAAACATAGGGTTACGTTCCAGAAGACGTATGTTCGAATACCGAATTGTTCGAGTTGAAAACAGTTCGAGTACCGAAATACCGCCGTATTTCGTTCGTCATTTTTATGAATGATTACTTTCGCAAGGTTAAAAAAAAGTTTAATAACATCTAAAAATGTTTGAATAAACATTACTAAATAAGATTAAAAGTTTCAATATTGTGATATCCATGGGCAATTTTGAGATAACATGCATGTTTACTTGAATAAAAAATATCGAATAAAGGAGTTTTCAATTAAAAATGATAAAATTTTGTACGGAGGATTTCCCAAATTTTCGAAAAGTGTTAGAGGGAAATCGTGTTGTAGAAGTGCCGTGTTGTACGGGTGATACTTGTATAATAAATTTAATTATCATAATATTTATATTAATATGTAAGATGCAATTAACAAGTATGAAATCATAGAAATAGTCCGAATTGGAAATCCTTTAATATTAGATTATTTTTTCATTAAAAATTTATACTTTCATTATTCTATATTCTAGACCAGAGGTGGACACTTTTTTAAATTAAAAGACCATATTATATTTTAGGAAACACTCTAAAGTCTCATTACAAATTACTATACGTGCATCAACAATATATATATATATATATATATATATATATTTCTAATAAGTTTAATTCTGTTGTTACGAATTTTGTATTTATTCAGGCCACATTAGAAATCACCAGCAAGTTTCCCTCATCTGTTCTAAGTCATTTGTATCATTGTACTCAGGATATTTACAGGTATTAGTTAAGATTCTCTTAATATACGTAAACCTATTCCACAAATTATTATTATTTCTTTTAGTTAGTAGATAAAGTAGACATAAAATAAAAATATACAATAATACAGCATTGCATGTCGCATAAATGCAACACCAGATAAAATTAGTGGCTAAAAATGAACCTGTTTTCTGGCAAATATACAGTCGTCCCCTCCTACAACACTGTTGATAATTCCGTTTTATATGAATTCAATGTTGTACGAGTCACTTAGATTTTACAAATACGTGTGCCGGGCTGTGAACGACTCACGTATTTATAAAACCTAAGTGACTCGTACAACATGAAATTCATATAAAACGGAATAATCAACAGTGTTATGGGGGTCGACTGTATTTGAAATAGCTTTGTTTCTACTAGGAACAATGTAATTCATATCGTTGAGCAATGTAATTCATATTGTTGAGCAATGTAATTCATATCGTTGAATTACAGTTTTTAATTCCATCATCTTACAAGATTAAAATCCTCAAGACAGTCAAAGAATGGAATTCTATAATTGCTTCTACTAGTAATTCAAACATTGTCAGTCTGTATTCTTGTAAAAGTAGGAACAGAAACATTATGCTTATAAAATCAATTCGAATCTGAAAATCTAAATAAATATCTAAAATCATTTGTTGATTTCAGCTTAAAACAGTAAAAGGATCTAATAAATATAACTACTTACGATGATTTATACAACTGTTCGTAATCTCGGCTACTTTTTTTTCAATAGGTAAGTTGTCTTCTTTTATGTTCTTAATAATACCTTTAAATATATGTAATGTTATATTCTAATAAAAGACTATTTCAATGAAAGCATTTTTATTGAATTATATAAAATACAGTATTTATAATTCCCATATCTTTATTACTACTTACTATACATAATTCGGAGAATATCAAACTGAATTTCACTTAATATACTTCTATTTGGAAGCGACATTAAGTTTTTATTCTTCCAACCTCCACACGAATAAGTGTAGAAATCGTCGCAAGGTTCAACATCTCCATTCAAGTTCTCGAGAATATTACCAGCTTTAACAAAATTCAAAGTCTTTCAAACAATTTTCATTTAGATAATAAAATTATTCTTATTTATTATATTATTTAAATAACAGTTCTTAATACTGAATCACTGGCATTTATGGGGTATACTCATTAAGTTTAAAGCCCTCAATTTGGTAAAAGTCTATAAGAAAACATGTATACGACCCGACTGAAGCCTACGTAGGTTCCTTAAGGCTCAAATTCAGAAAAGGTTGCTCATCAGTAATGTAAACAAAAGCATCAGAATTGGTACGAAAAAAGGCTTTTAGGCCAAACGAGTATAAAAAGGCTCACAGACGGAAAGAATTAAAAAATAATAATACAAATTATGTATAATTTTATATACAAACACGTACAAAATAAAACGGAAAATACAGTAAAACCGGATTTACGCAGGTTTTTACTGTATTAGATTTTAATTAATTTAATTCTTTTACCTCTCATTACGCAATGCTTAGTCTTGCATATTTCTGATTTTGGTAATAGATTTTCTAAGAAAAAATAAAATTTAAAAATGTATATGTATATAATTAATAAAATTTATAAATTTAACATTTGAGTTACTAATAACTAATTTGTTTTCTTACCTACTGCAATGCTTATAACGATAGCAGAAAGTAAACTAAGCACTAAAACCAGAAAGATGAATGCTAATATTATTAATAGCTTCTCCCTTGGATTAGTGCTGTTTTCGATAAAGAAAAAAATATATATTATAATAGAAATACTGTATAGTAATTTGAATTGAAGCATTAAAAATTCTATAAAGAAATCTTTGTATTATCTTAATATACTTTATAAATAGAAAAATTTATATTAAAATATATATTATACTTTAATTACCTTTCATGATCATTCTGGCAGTTGATACGAAATTCCTGTTCCTTTTCATCAATGTCTTTCATTGAAATTGGGTTGACACTCATGATGAAAACCAAGAAATCAAAACATAAGAATTCAATATGTTTATATTTGTATTCACTTATAAATTATAATTGACTCAACGCTTCAAAATATCACATAGAATGAGATATAAAGTGAGTTATGCCTTAGTAATGTTTAAGTTATTTTTGATATTTATATGTCCGCAGATGTGGAAAAGCATGTTAATGTTGTGACGTGGTATCACCTGTAGTATGGAAGCTATTGTTATTGTTAAATTTTCAGTTCAAACAGTCGAAGAAGGTGTACAAATATGACACAGTTTTACTCATTAGTGTATATATTTGGTTACAATTTATAACTATTTGAATGAATAAATGTGAATTAATTAATTCACTTTAAAAGTCGCAGGAAAAATCTAATATTATTACAAAAATGATTAATAAAATATCTATATTTTATTATTTATTAATGAATGCATGTTAATTATTTTAATAATTATTACTAATTTTATATTACTTAATAATTTGATGTAATTATTAAAGAAATTGTCATTTATTCGATCATTTAAAAAATTCTGATAGACAAGGAGATTTGTTTTATTCTTCTTTACAGGCAATAACAATAGACAGTTTTTGTTTAAATAAATTTTATTTGAACATTTTTTCCTACGTGACCTAATTCGGTTTATACAGAAATACAGAATATTGGTTTATAACATTTAACAGTAAAGCTTCACAAGACAAAGTTTGATTTTTTTTTTAAATTATTTTGTTAATGTAATTAATTCCATAATTTAAATAACGTTTGATCTTGTTTATTTAATTCTTTGTGATGATTATTATTAATATATATATATACCTTATTAAGGTAATTATAAAAAAATTTTGAATATTTGTTTTAGTTTCTGATAGATTTGTATATGAAATATTTCTCTTTCTTTCTATGTAATATAAGTATTTGCAACAAATATTAGTTGCATTTATTCTATACAATACAGCGGTTTTCAATCTTTTTAAGCAAGTAGTCTAATTGTAAACCAATTAGGTTTTAATTTCATATACTTTAATGTCTGATATCTTTCTCCCTTCAATAATTTATTTAAACTTTAAATAAATTATCGTCATCTTTCTAAAATGTTTTTTTTTTCATATTTGNTTGTCAGTCTATATTCTTGTAAAAGTAGGAACAGAAAGATTATGCTTATAAAATCAATTTGAATCTGAAAATCTAAATAAATATCTAAAATCATTTGTTGATTTCAGCTTAAAACAGTAAAAGAATCTAATAAATATAACTACTTACGATGATTTATACAACTGTTCGTAATCTCGGCTACTTTTTTTTCAATGGGTAAGTTGCCTTCTTTTATATTCTTAATAATACCTTTAAATATATGTAATATTATATTCTAATAAAAGACTATTTCAATGAAAGCATTTTTATTGAATTATATAAAATACAGTATTTATAATTCCCATATCTTATTTACTACTTACTATACATAATTCGGAGAATATCAAACTGAATTTCACTTAATATACTTCTATTTGGAAGCGACATTAAGTTTTTATTCTTCCAACCTCCACACGAATAAGTGTAGAAATCGTCGCAAGGTTCAACATCTCCATTCAAGTTCTCGAGAATATTACCAGCTTTAACAAAATTCAAAGTCTTTCAAACAATTTTCATTTAGATAATAAAATTATTCTTATTTATTATATTATTTAAATAACAGTTCTTAATACTGAATCACTGGCATTTATGGGGTATACTCATTAAGTTTAAAGCCCTCAATTTGGTAAAAGTCTATAAGAAAACATGTATACGACCCGACTGAAGCCTACGTAGGTTCCTTAAGGCTCAAATTCAGAAAAGGTTGCTCATCAGTAATGTAAACAAAAGCATCAGAATTGGTACGAAAAAAGGCTTTTAGGCCAAACGAGTATAAAAAGGCTCACAGACGGAAAGAATTAAAAAATAATAATACAAATTATGTATAATTTTATATACAAACACGTACAAAATAAAACGGAAAATACAGTAAAACCGGATTTACGCAGGTTTTTACTGTATTAGATTTTAATTAATTTAATTCTTTTACCTCTCATTACGCAATGCTTAGTCTTGCATATTTCTGATTTTGGTAATAGATTTTCTAAGAAAAAATAAAATTTAAAAATGTATATGTATATAATTAATAAAATTTATAAATTTAACATTTGAGTTACTAATAACTAATTTGTTTTCTTACCTACTGCAATGCTTATAACGATAGCAGAAAGTAAACTAAGCACTAAAACCAGAAAGATGAATGCTAATATTATTAATAGCTTCTCCCTTGGATTAGTGCTGTTTTCGATAAAGAAAAAAATATATATTATAATAGAAATACTGTATAGTAATTTGAATTGAAGCATTAAAAATTCTATAAAGAAATCTTTGTATTATCTTAATATACTTTATAAATAGAAAAATTTATATTAAAATATATATTATACTTTAATTACCTTTCATGATCATTCTGGCAGTTGATACGAAATTCCTGTTCCTTTTCATCAATGTCTTTCATTGAAATTGGGTTGACACTCATGATGAAAACCAAGAAATCAAAACATAAGAATTCAATATGTTTATATTTGTATTCACTTATAAATTATAATTGACTCAACGCTTCAAAATATCACATAGAATGAGATATAAAGTGAGTTATGCCTTAGTAATGTTTAAGTTATTTTTGATATTTATATGTCCGCAGATGTGGAAAAGCATGTTAATGTTGTGACGTGGTATCACCTGTAGTATGGAAGCTATTGTTATTGTTAAATTTTCAGTTCAAACAGTCGAAGAAGGTGTACAAATATGACACAGTTTTACTCATTAGTGTATATATTTGGTTACAATTTATAACTATTTGAATGAATAAATGTGAATTAATTAATTCACTTTAAAAGTCGCAGGAAAAATCTAATATTATTACAAAAATGATTAATAAAATATCTATATTTTATTATTTATTAATGAATGCATGTTAATTATTTTAATAATTATTACTAATTTTATATTACTTAATAATTTGATGTAATTATTAAAGAAATTGTCATTTATTCGATCATTTAAAAAATTCTGATAGACAAGGAGATTTGTTTTATTCTTCTTTACAGGCAATAACAATAGACAGTTTTTGTTTAAATAAATTTTATTTGAACATTTTTTCCTACGTGACCTAATTCGGTTTATACAGAAATACAGAATATTGGTTTATAACATTTAACAGTAAAGCTTCACAAGACAAAGTTTGATTTTTTTTAAAATTATTTTGTTAATGTAATTAATTCCATAATTTAAATAACGTTTGATCTTGTTTATTTAATTCTTTGTGATGATTATTATTATTATATATATATACCTTATTAAGGTAATTATAAAAAAAATTTTGAATATTTGTTTTAGTTTCTGATAGATTTGTATATGAAATATTTCTCTTTCTTTCTATGTAATATAAGTATTTGCAACAAATATTAGTTGCATTTATTCTATACAATACAGCGGTTTTCAATCTTTTTAAGCAAGTAGTCTAATTGTAAACCAATTAGGTTTTAATTTCATATACTTTAATGTCTGATATCTTTCTCCCTTCAATAATTTATTTAAACTTTAAATAAATTATCGTCATCTTTCTAAAATGTTTTTTTTTTCATATTTGTCCCTTTTCACCCTATGGACCTATTAATCAAATTTATCTTGGGTTTGACCAAACCAGCAATGGGGCAGCCGGATGGTGAGGGACGAAGTCCTATGTATCTTGACAAACTACCCCGAAAAATTTCGGTGGTTTCAAGACTTCCAGGAACCTGTAAGCTTACACCTTAAAAGTACTTTTGGTTCTTTATTTATAAGCTTGGTAATGTTTTCATGATTAAAAAAATATATAATGTAAGGAAAAATTTTCGAGTTGAAATAACACAACTTTAAATTTATACCGGATGTTGACATATAGTTAATCGGGCCCTTCCGCTCCTAAGGTTTTCAAATTCGGTTTCTACGTTCATATGTCTAACACCGTTCCTGAGATTAAGGAAAGACAGACAAGAAAGAGGAACGACATGGGAATTTATAAGTCTACAATTATTTCAAATTGCAGCCCAATAAATCAATTATAGGTATCAATCGTCGAACAGTAAAGTAAAGCTAGTAAAGGTTAGTAATTTACGAAATTTGTGATACGGAATAAGTAAATGAGACCGCCCAATCAAGGAAAAGCAGTTTTTGAAGTGTAAATCAAAATTTCTATTTTAAAACGCACGGAATTCGCTTTATGGTAGTCATGCGGCTTCGATAAGTGACTTCCGACAATATTTATTGGATGAAAGTAATACATCTGAGCACAGTTTGGGTGCAATTAACGTTTAATTATGAGCTATATTTAGGTTCTTGTGTGTAGCGTCCAGTATTTCTTTGCGTGCAGCAAAATAACGTCATATCCACAGAAAATGAGATAAGATAAAACAACTAACTCATTAATTTCTTAATATTTTAGAATAATCAACTCAATATAAATTGCATTAATTATCAAGATCTTTCTGCTCTTCATATCGCAGTCGAAAATGAAAACATCGAGATGATTCAGTTCTTACCATTCGCGATATAGACATAAAGAATTGTATTCTTCAGGCTGTATGCACAGGAAATATAAAAATTATAGAAATAATTTTGGACTCTCTTAAGTAAGTACAAAACAATTAATACGATGTTTTTCAATTTCCTAAAGTTTTATTAATTTCTTGCATAGACAATAAAAATTAAAAAATTACATCAGAAATTCCGACAGAATTTTTTATTTAAATCTAGATAAATGAATAATATATTTTTGGTTTATGCAGATTATTTACNCCAGATAAATGAATATCGTCTTTTGGATTACACTGATTATTTACTTATCTAAAGATTCATTCTACGAAAACTTCTTTGTTCTCTAGTGTCCTTTTAATAACAAAAAATATATTTATCCTTTAACTTCACTTATTAAAACAGATATAAGTAGTTATATTCAGAGTTTCTTTTAACATCTCTAAATTGTGATATTTATTCTCGTCGTTTTAACGCAACGTATTAATAAAGACGTTTAAGCTACCATAAAATACATTTGTCAACCGGATTCATAGGTTTATCGTTACCACATTGAAATGCCTCTGAAAACTCTTTCATGTTAGAAACTGTTCCAATGATCCTAAAATTGAGAGGAAAAAAATTCAAATAAATGTTGATATTCTCTATTGAATTTGATTTGTTTTGTAATATACCTGAATATCTGTGGACTGTGTTCACTACGATTCATATCAGATTTTAATTCGCCTCCCGTTTCTGAATCACACCACATCTGTAAAAAATTTCATATAATTTGATACAATTATACATTATTGCAATACATAAATTATATATTATTTGTATAAAAATATTATATATATAATTCTTACAGTTGCGTATGATATGAAGAACATTTGATCCGGATTATACAATTGGAAATCTTCAAGAATATCCTTTCCTTCACTTTCATATTTCTTTAAATACTCTTTATATGCCTATAATTAAAAACTTCGCTTAATACTTCAGAAAACTTTGAATATTTTGTCTAAATTACTTACAAAATATGCATGTCTCAAACCGCTATTGTCTGCTATGTTTTCATCTATTGTTCTATTACCATCCATCTGCAATGAAATTATATAACTCAGTAAATTTTAATTTTTGTTAAATAACAAATAAATACGAATATTAAAGAATTAATATAAAATATTCTTTCTGTTAAAGTCATGAAAAATAAACAACTCGCCCTTTCTCCTCCAATTTCATAGGAACCATACTGATCAACCAGGCATTCCACTCTTTTATTGTATTCCATTAGTGATTCCTCTGACCATGTCATATTAAGATTTCCATGACCGTCCATACGAATAGCTAATTTATGACAATGAAATAATCGCTTTATTAAAATATTTATGGAAAATTACACAATAATTTTATGAAATAAGCAAATTTACTATTTCAGATTATATATGTATTAAAAGATTAAAAACGTAATAAATGTTAAATTAAAACTTACCATTTGTAGTTAGAGAATGAGTAATTTCATGTGCTAAAGCACTACCATACCGGGCGAAATTCGTATAACTAATAATAAATAAAATAAAAATTAATCAAGTTGCTATTGAGAACAAAACACACAGGAACAATTGATGGAAAAAGTAGGTTTATTTTCTATAATTTAGAATGGATATGCATTTAGGACTTATACAAACTTAATGAGTAAAGTGTATATAGATACAGTTAATTATATATAAGAAGTTTATAAGTTTATTTAGGCTACTTACATAGGGAAATTAACATTAAACATGGATTTACTTTGAAAAAATTGAGTCATAACTGAAATATAAATAAATTCGTACATGTATTTATATATATATGCTATAAAAATTGTAAGGCCTTAGACGATTTAAAAAGACTTTTTAAACCTTACCAACTTTATTTAATAGTGGATGATAGAGTGCAGAATAATACATTGTTGAAACATCGCTATTCGCATTCCATCTGCGAATATAAAATTAAAAAAATAAACTTACAAACAACAGTTTAAAATATTATTTAATCAAGCAATAAGTATAATGCTTCTTACTGTTTCCTATCATTCTTTTTCCAGAGAGTTTCAAGCTGTTTTTTAAGCATAAACTTTTTCATATTTAAAAAATTTTCATCAAAATTTGAATTCATATTTGGAAACTAATAAATAATATGAAATTTCAAAGTTAATAAGAACGTTATATTTAATCTCATACGTCTAATCAATTTGATATACGGAATAAATATATATCATTAAAATTAATTGCAATACGTACATCTTTATAAAATTCCATAAATAAGTCTTCGTTTTTAACAAATTCGGGAAAGTCTGTTGTTATTATCATTTCTTTAATCTAAAAAATGAAAATAGGCTATATTAGAAATAACTCTCTGCTGAAACTTTCTTTAAAACTTTTTTTACCTCTGAAATAAACATTGGAACTCTTCGTACTGATTCACACACTCACTAATTCACATACACGTACTGTACATTATGTACTGACTCAAACACTAAATGAAGGCATGTGCTATGTATGAAATGTGATTTAATTGAACCTTGATTTTAAATTCAACAAACATTTGAATTTGAAAAACAAGCATTGATTTAAATTCTTGAAAATTGAGTCATGTAAGGAGCTTGGTCTCTTAGGACAACATTAACGGTGTAATCACACTTCATGCAGGCATGATTAAATGCGCTCACACTTTTGCAAATTTTACTTCTTTAAGAGTATTCCATCTACCGATTTGTCTGTTAGTGGGACCACAAAAATATTCAAAACCAATCGTTTCATGTCATTCATTGTTTTGTCCACAAGAAACAAAACAGGGTTATCTCCAATAATACATTGATCCTACTGATTGCTTTTCCATATACTGGTATTGAAGGTTACATTTTTTTAAAGTACTTTCGTTAGAAACGGTTTTTCCAGTCCATCTCTGCAAAAAACTGCTTAAACTTGGATGGTTGATCTTACTTAGAAGGATTTCAAAATGTACGAAAGCTGTAGCTAAAGATGAAAGATATTTGTTTCTGAAAGCAGCGATGCTTTCTACTTTCTGCTTAATACTTTCTACCAATATTATAACTGAAGATATTTTCATCAGTAACAGTACATTCTTCGGCATATCATGCAAGTAGTTTTTTTTAATTCTTCCCTCTTCCTTATTAATTCGGCACACAGCGACGAAAGCTTACTAATCATATACAATATTTTACAATTTAATCAGTAAACATTCAAAGCTAGGCCCGAAAAAACATAATTATCACTTTGGTTATATACAAAGAAAAGCAGCTTATGGGCTGTTCATAAATTATGCAATGCATTTTTAGTGAAATTTTGACCTCTTTCTCTTCTGATAACATTTGCAAACAATTCAGCACAACTCTTCTCCATGTATTACCTAACATTTAAGTATCCCCAAAAGTTTTACAAGAAAAATCAACTACTAGATAGTAACATCTCGTATAGAAAACCAGCGTTGTTAAATTAAGCTGCAAACTCAGGAATTTAGATTACGATTTGAAATTAAGTTTAAGATGTAAAATAGATGAAAATCAGCCAAACAATGCGAAATCCTTAACCCTCAGAAATAAAGTGAAATTCATAGTTAAAGTAGCCAAAGTTGACTTAACTTAAGTAGCAACTTGACTTATATTTTTAAGTGAATTAAAATATATTATTATTGATAAACTTATATTTTGAAAAGAATAACTAATTAATTAATTAACTTTTTGCATTTTAATATTATATGTATAAATAAAGAGGAAAGTGTTAAACTTACTTTTTCGTTGATTTGAATTTTCGTCTCGTCATCCAACCAAGTTTTATTGCTCAATGAATTTGACATAAATTCATGAATATATTCGGTAATTTCTTCAAGAAGATTATTTTTTTTCTAAGAAATTAAAAATTTAAACTATATTATTTATAGTTAAGTATAAATCATACTTTTCTAAATTAAATTAAATTAATTAGTAGTAGTAAAAATGCAAGCAATTTAAAATTTTGAATGGGTATATTAAGTATTTTCTAATTTCTTATCTTATATATATCTTAAATCTAATTTTTATTCTAATTCTATGTAAACATTTTCTAATTTAATTCAGTTTAGAATGTTTTATACTAAATGATATAAATATTCCTCTAGATAAAATGTTAAAATTTATCACTTTTTTATAAAATTTAATACAGAATGTCTACTTCAACATTTACCCAGAGGCAAAATATATTTTTTTTTTACATAACCAAACTCATATATTAAAAGAATGGAAGTAAATACAGTAATATAAACAACACTAAAAGTTGCACCTTCCGATGGGATGAAATTAGATAAAAAGACCAAGAGGACCAAGAAATAAGCTTCGTATCATTTTACTCGTTTACGAATCATCAAATATAGAATAGTAAGTAGTACAACAGAACAAAATATAAGAATTCTACTGAACAAAATCCTATTTATATCCTAAGCGCATAGATACAGTACATTTAATCGTCGCACACGAAAATCTCCCTCTAAAAGATAGGCATTTAATTAATTAATTAATTAATTAATTAAATAATAAGTATTAAAATATCTTTAAATATAAATTGAATAAAGACAATTAATAAAATGATTATATTTATTATTTAAATTTTATAAAAGTCTACTTACATTATATTTTACGTGTTGATAATATATATAATCCAGGAAATTAGTATATCGTGACAGAATATCCAAAAACAATGTCTTATCAATCTCATTAGGAAACGATACAGAGAAAGATGTGCAGAAAAAATTGGCTAAAACACTGTAAAATATTTTGTAGTTAGCTCTAAAATTATACGTAAATACAAAATTTATTCTTGTTATTTATTCATCTGGTTTACCTTTCAAAACTTTCCGTCTTATTCATCTCGAAAAGCTCTAATAATTTAATTTTTTTCCCCCATATCATAATTTCTGTCTGAGATGTTATATTTGATTTTTCAGGTAAATGGATATCCTCAAAAATGTAATCGAATAACTTCTTCCAATTAATCTAAAAATTAATGCAAGTAATTTAATTATCATTTTACCAAAACTACTTTAAAAAAAAACTATAAAAATAAAGTAAATACTTCTGGAATAAATTCCTGTAATTCCTCAATGGTCATAAAATCAGGTTCTTCGTTGCTTACGTGATACTGCTCGAGTAGACAAATTACTTTATTAATATATAATAAATAGTAAAACAATAATAATTTTAGCTAAATAATTTAAATACTTACATATGTTACCAAAGATCTAGTATTTATCCATTTATTAGAATCGAAATAATTTGTTTTAATTTGACTTTCAATATCTGGAGCCAAAATCTACAAATGGGTAAATGTAATTTCTTTATTGGAAATTTGTAGTTAATAAAGTTATAACACAAACTTACAGTAATTATATTTCTTTCTGTGTTTCTATTGTCTGGTTGAACCGAAATAAAAGGAAAAATAGATAATTTAATAAATTTTGCGAAATATTCTTCTAAATTATAAGTAGATTCGTTCCAATTTTCATCGAGGAGTGGACATCCTCCCAAGTTTTTATTAAAATAATTCTTCTTCCACTCATTCCTGTTGGTTTCATTAAGTTCTAAAACGGATAAAATAATCAATTTATTATGTATTTTATTAATGTAATATAATAGTATCCTTTTATTGTAGTCATTTTAGTAACATTAAGTGGAGTAAATGAATTAAGTCTACAATTAATGGGAATTATAGTTTGATTGAGTCTGACATTAAATTTTTTTTTATAGAATTGGGAAATGTTAAGTAGAAAAATTAATTGCAATTGTTATTATTAAATAATAACAATTGCAATTGATAATTTTTCTACTTAACATTTCCCAATTCTATAAAAAAAATTTATAATTGTGCAGTGTTGTTTATCTGTTATTTTTGTATTGTCTATTGCAAAGTTAAGTTGTAATTGAAACGAGAAATAATAACGACACAAACTAGTGGGCCATAACTAGTGATACATTTAGAAATATAGCGTTTCTAGCTCCATAACTTCTAGTTACCCCCAAACTAGTAATGCCACTTTTGCATCGATCAAATGTATTTTATAATATTAATTCTGTAGTTTTATTTTTACATATTTTAAAACATGGAAACAGCAAAGACACTATCGCTTTACTAAACGTGATTATCTTAATGACCGATCTTACTGAAGGTCCATCAGTGGGTCAGTGGCCGAAACCATTAAACACTTGTAATTAGCCAATCGCTATTCATGCTGGAGAGAAGTGTTGAAATTTTCTGGGTTTTCTTCACGTGACTAACATTTATATAGAGCTAGATCCCATAGAAAGTCATTCTTGGAAGCATTTCCCTTTGGCAGATTGCTGAAGTCTTGTGATGCCTTCATCCAGTGATTTCCAAACGGCGTGCAGTGATATACTAGGGTGCCGCAATGACACTTCAGAAGTGCGGTGAAATGGATGGAAGAAAGTAATCCTTCGGCGATCTGCCAAAGAAATTTCTTCCGGAGGATTTTCTATGTTGAATTTTCTAATGGTAGCTGTATTACGTATTATATAGGTAAATGTCTCTTCAATCCGAACAAAATTTCGGTAGACTTTCTCACAGCTCTACAGGTTAAAAATCTCCTTTATTGTTTTTCACATATGCATTTCGACGAACAAAATTTCGGTAGACTTTCTCACAGCTCTACAGGTTAAAAATCTCCTTTATTGTTTTTCACAGATGCATTTCGGGCAAGTTTAATTTTCCTGCTCCTCCTCAGTGCTACAAAACAAATTCATATTGAATTTACACAAAACAACTTTTGAGTAGAAAATGCTTACAAGACATAAAAAGACATTTTATAATACCTTAAGATTTCCCACATGTTTCTTCATCTCTTTTACAGTACTTGTACTATCAATTTACAATGTTTTTAAATTTATAATTCCCAATTTTCTCTTAAGGGCGTTTTACATCGAAATCCATACCATTATGCTACACAACTAATTACAAATTATAATTATTAGTAACATTTTAAATCACTTATTTATAACAAATTTTTTCCTTTAAAAAAATATTTACTAAAAAAAATACATACATGTTTTTCTTTAAAAGTGTCACAACAATAACAGAGTAGTATACGTTGTATAAACTTTAAAAAGGTTCAACATACAATAAAATTTTCACGACAATGTATAATCTTAGAAATATAAACTATTGACTTGTTGCGCCCCCTATCATGTTATACCATTGCTGGTCGATTTGCATGCCATTGGAAATGTTTATTAAATTATTACCACTGTATTTCATTATTTCTATATGTTCTTTGAATTTACGTTTATATATATTTTTCTCACAGTGTAGGATTTTAATATTATTTCTATCTATTTTGCAGTTACTATTTTTGATGTGGTTATACCAAGGTGAATTATCATGTTTTAACCGTATGGCAGCTTCATGTTCTTTTATCCGTAATTCCAAAGTTCGACCCGTTTCACCTATGTATTCTTTAGGATTTTGACAGTTGCAATTAATTTTGTAAACAGTTCCAGTTTTTTTCAATTTATCAGTATTGGTTTTGTATTTTCCTAATTTATTTGAGATTTTATTTG